CTTCATTTTTTTATGGTTTTGATTTTAGAATGTCGTCTGTAGCATTGGCTATGAGAAAATCAAGGGCTGGTTTCGGTAGAAAATTTAAATTCCATCCCATCTCAGTATGTTGATGCTGTACTTCAACCATTTGTTGAAAATTGACAAGAAACCATTAATATGAAAAGAGCAGAAGAATAAGGGGATAATTTGGTCTGTTTATTACAGTTTCTTCAAGACTGCATAAATACACAAACCTTTAGCAGCTAGATAGTAAGATTTGTTAGTTTTCTTACCTCGATATGCAGAAAATATCGTATAATGGATAATTTTTAAAGTGATGAAATGTTTTGTATCATCTGTAGGTGGTGCTAGAGATTCAGATACAATTTGAGTTTAGCCAATATATTTCCTGTGAAACAGAAACTTGATTTTCTCCAACAGATCTTTCTTCAACTCTTTGCTAGGTATAAATGAAAAAAAAGTCCTCTGTTGCAACTTCCATAAGTTGCAGGACACTTAACAGTAAAAAATATCAAAATTGGCAGCATCGTAACAGAAATTAAAAGATCACAGACTGGCAATCAGTAAAGATCTGTGTTGTCCCACTCAGAGCAGATTTCTAGTTAGAATTTATTTTATGAAAGTGTACAGAAAATTAATTTTGAAAACTCCCTTTCAATTTAATCTCTAAATAGTTTGCAGCCTGTTGTAGAGCAAGTAAGTAGTGTAAAATAGCAAATTCAGCACAAGTTTTTATTGGTCAAAATTGTGTGAATGTATACCTGTGCATCTCCTGTATGTGTGTCCTATTGCATCAGAGTTCCCAGGAACCTTATATTAACTCCAGTGTCACCCTTAGACAGTTTTGTTATCTGCATTTCACTTTCTTGAAACAGTTGTTTACTTTTTAAAGTAGGAAACCAGTAGATTGATGTTGTATTATGAGGGCTAACACTTTATGCTGGTCCTATGTATAGTTCTAAGATAAACAGGAAAGATAACAAAATGGTGAGAATGAATAGACAAAGACATAGATAGTACTGCTGTCTTCAGCAGTTTAGCTTTTTACATTACACTTAAGGAAATAATCTAGTTAGGTTTTTCCCCCTCCAAACTAGAAAAAAAACAACAACCCTGAAATAGGGATGATTTTTTTTTCTTTCAGCATATTAACATAAACATGTAATGCTGACCATTGTCTAGTAGAGCTGGTAGAAGCATATTGCCTTAATATTTTATACTTGTTTAGCATGTTCATGCTGCTATCAACTGAATTATTGTTCCCTGGAGAAAGCACGTTAATTCATAAGAGTCTCTCTCTCTCTCTTATGGAGCTTGTTTGTTTTTTCTTGAGTGCCATGGAATTCATAGATTCTCCTAGAATTCCACCACAGTCATCAAGATCTTAAGCAATTTGTCTATCTTTCCCTGTGAAAATAATGTGCACATACATAGTGTCCATCATCTGAGGATT